CGCATCAACGAGGCTTCTTCGCCGACGCCGGAGCTGCCGCTCGCCAGCACACTGTCTGCTCGCCCTAATCCGGTGTTCCGGAACTACTGGACCTGCATCGGTATTACTTGCTTAGGGTCATGAAGGACCCGCTTTTCTTTCTTTTCTTTTCTAGTCTAAGCCACTTTGGCTTCCCTTCTTGAAGGCCGGCGCACCGAATCATTCGATTACTTTCTCTTCTTTTTCGTACCAGTTTTTTTTCTTCTTTTCTTCCTTTTTTAGAGGAGATGTTGGTGCTAGCCAGGTAGGGACCCCGCCAATTTTGGCGCCCAGAATGTATGGGATTCGCTGATCACCAGGATGGCAGGCGGCCATCTTTAGCTCCAAGCGCTGTTTTAGTGAGGTCTTCTCCCGGGTTGAGATAGAGGAGCCGCGTCTCCGTCGTAAGAGTAAATGTAGGTAAGTATATAAAAAAACAACTCACTCATAAAGTTGAAATAAACTAAAAAATCGATAAACAAAAAAAAGAAACAGATGTGCATTTGGTAATCCTATGGAATATTTGTTAGAGTTCTCATTCTGGGTTTCTTTTATTTCCTTTCATTTTTGTCCTTTATTTTTTCCACGTCTTTCTTCTCCCACTGTCCGCACGTGGCCTTGAAGAATGGCGTATTTCGTCTCTGTCCTGTTGCCCTCAGGCTCATTTGCTCCTATGCGGACCTCATCTCCTTTGGTATCCCTGATCTACTGTTACGAGACCTGGTTCGTTCAAAACATCATAGTTCCGTCTTATCAGGGCACTTCATCTGCGCCTGCGCCGTCTCTGGGTAAAGGGCAAGCAATGTTGCCTTTCGGCGCTGCGCTCGCTGCCCACAACGTCTGATTTGATGACAAAGCTACGCACGACGTCACCGCTTTCGTGCCCAGTTAGGACTTCTACCAGTCCGAATGATTCTCGACATTGATGCCAATGTCCCCTCAAGGTGGATGGGCGAGATCACGAACTGTACACACATGGGATTGCCAATTCATCAGCGGTGTTCAGAAACAGGATCGCAGCAACCAATTTTATGGCCGATCGTCAATTACTCGAGATTGAGCTCCATTCTGAACCACACCGCCACCAAGGACTCCTACGGGCAATTCAGCTGTTCGGTAGAGTGCGAGGAGGCGACAACGAAGCTGCTGTTCGCCTACGCGTCCCGGTTGGCCCGTGCCGTACGGGGACGGATCCCGTTTTCAGCCTTCTCGCCGACGACACCTTTTGCTCTGCAATCGAAGATCCTGATACCCATATAGAGCGAATACCGTCCTCGACATGGTCTACTCCAGTCGTCCACGTCCGAGCGAGAGCACCCACTGCCCACCGTCCCTCCTCTGACGATCACGCTGAATTCACTCGATATCCGTCTTCGCAACGATCAAGCCAATGCGGTTCACATGGGACTCGGCAATCATCCTATCTTAGCATCCAGGCTGCATTTGGCACGGGGAAAACAGTGGTGGGCGCTTACATTGCAGCTCGTCTTGCTGAACAAGGACGACTCGTCATCGCCACGGCTACCACGAACGTCGCTGTGGCGCACTTCACCGACACGTTGCTGAAACTTGACGAATTTCGACGGTTGCAAGGTACTTCGATTTCTAGCCGACTCGGCACTACGGGAGGGTGCACCAATCACTCCATTAGACCTTAACTACGTGCTTCGTGGCCTAGTGGCCAATCTACCGGACAAGCCTTACTGAATCTGAGCATGAACAGCTCACTGTCTATGCTCGAGGCCGTACGCTTATCGAACGCATGCTGCTGGATCCCGAAGCAACCCTCCACCTGACAAACGAGGAACGGAGCAGTAGCGTGTCGCGAAAAATCACAACTCCGAAGATACCGAGGATGCCTACCGAGAACAATACTTGGTGTGCGGTTTCCCAACATCGTATGTATGACCACGACGTCTCTCCTCAGCACCACCCAACCTGGAGGCCTTTTCTCGACGGACGGTATTCCAGGACGCCGATGTCGTCATAGGAGATGAAGCCCTCAAATCCCCGAGCCGACATTTGTGGCTTCGGTAGCGCTCTTTACCGGCGCGCGCCACATCTACATTGGCGATGCTAACCAACTCGAACCACACGTACGTTGCCCGCGCTCGTCAATGGCGGAGGGAAAGGAGTAATGGCACTGTTAATGCAGAAAGACATCCCGCTTGCTCCTCTCGCCACTACGTTCCGAGCGCAAGCCCTCAGCGACCTTTCGAACCGGATCGTCTACAACGAAGCACTCGTCAATGGATCGACAGCTCGACAGCGTCAACTTCTTACCCGTCGCCTTTCGTTGCCGAATCCGGACATCTCCTTCGTCTTCGTTGATGTTCGTGGGACGTTCCCACGCGTCTTCAACCCAGTCCCATTACAATCGGGCTGAAGCAACCTGTTGCTTGGACTTGGTATGTGCACTGCTGACAAAGGATATTCTCGCTTTGTCAATCGCTGTTATTACCTTTTATAAAGCAGAGACGTCTAGAAGATCCACTGCGACGACTTGGAGTCCCCTGCACACCGTCAACTCAGTTCAAAGTCGGCAAATAGATATGTTGTAGTACTTAATACTAAGACTAAAATCGACAGTGAATCAGGAGAATTTATGGACGATATCCGCAGACTCAACGTGGCGATCACTCGATGTAGACATGGCCAATTTATTTTAGGTCACGCCGAAGCTCTTCAGCAACTGCCAAACTGGGGCGAGTCCTTCAATGGGCACACGACTGGAACCTTATTGTGAGCACCACTTCGCTACACGACATCTTTGCGTGACACGGTATCGCCTTGATTTACTCTGAGTGCCAGAGGTTCCTCATTTTCTCTATGTTTTTCTACCATTTCGTTTATTTCAGTACTCATTATCTACAGGGATCAATTTCAGTAGTTTACGCTTCGCGAAATAGCCGCTTTTCATTGGAAGATTTTGGTCACCGCTACTCATCTTACTCACCACCATTACCTCCTCGCCACGTCTTCACTTACGTCAATGGTTCGCT